GCCTCAGCTGCATGAGTGGCGGGATCTGCACCTTCAGCCTCTGACCCTGATCCCTCAGCTGACTTCACTCTGGCACCTGCAGTTCTCACTGTGCCGCTGAGTTTGTTTGGAGATGACTAGCCCTGCTCGCTCATCAGCTTCACTTTGGAGGTCCTCTTGCCCCTCCATTAGCCAGCCACATCTGTAGAGCCTGAGTTGGCCAGGGGCAGTGCCGGATAAGGGGCAAGCCCAGTGGGGCGCTGGTGGGGTGTCTGGGAGGAGCATGACGATGCCYATGAAACTGGAGAGCAACACACAGTGGCTGTCTCTCATTATCAATGGCTAYGTTTTTAAAGCATAGATCCCAAGCCACACACTCCAATGGCTTAGTAAATTATGACCTCTCTCAATTCTTTATCAATAGCCCAACTATTGTGTTCAAGTCTTCTAAGACAGTCAAGAGTTAACCTTTCCCCCTCCATGTCATGGCAGAAGCAACAGTAGGGCAGCGGGAGGGAACGCTCTGACACTGAGCCACTCAAATATGGACTGATTTTTCAGACAGATCTTCAAATGGACTGTGCTACTGTTTTTCTCTCAAAGCTACCAAGTTTGTGCARTAAGTGGAAGGGATGTCATCCCTGTTCAATAAAAGCTGAATGACATTCAAGTTGATTTTCTAGACSACTGAGAAAATCTTTATTTACAATAAATTTCAATAAAATTTGCATAAATATATTCCCAATTAAAAAAAATCTCTTGGAAATTTGTATTTTTCTCTCCTTTTATAAGTGCTCACATAATAATGATTTTTCCCCTCGGCTCACAAAACCTAAAACAGTATCTAATACATTCCAGAAAAAAGGTTGTCTCTGGTGTGGAATACAGAAGGATTTGGAAATAACACTGAAAAAATATTCTGTATAAAAGTGAAATAAACTCAAATTACAATTATTTCTCAAAAAATCACACAGCATGGATATGATAGAAATTTCAATCAAATTAACCAGGTCTCAAAGTGTTTTTCATGTGTTCCACATTTTAGTTTAGAGTAGTTAAGAGAGAAGCATAAAACTTTGTTTGTATCAGCTGTAATAAGAAAGAAAAATAAATGGAAAATAAAAGGAAAAGGAATTAATAGGAAAATATGCATGCTTTTTTGAATTGATGATAAAATAATGATATAAGAATAAAGACACTACACAGCCCCGTACTCAAGCACTGAATCAACACTTCATGTTAGTAGATAGAAGGTCTAAATGCAGAACCCTGACATGACTTGTGTCATGTGGCTTAGTACTTCATCCACAGCCCTGGAGCAGCAAACATGACTGTGGCAGACATCCAGGTGACATCACCAACCCTCCAGACAACCACAGACAGGTGCCCAGACCTGGAAAGAAGAGGAAGGATTTTTACTTCCTGGAGCTAAATGTGTGTAAATGAAGCATAAAATTGGGTCAAAATGTGTCAATGTGACAAGAGCTAAGTATCTGTTTGGGATGGAAGATCAGGCAATGATTTGTGCCACTTATGAATACTTCTGTCATGGTCTTTGCAATTGCCATCATGAGGTGGCTGCAGAGTGATCTGCAGCAAGAGGCTGCTGGAGGTGCCTGTTGGGGCTGGGGCATGCAACTGGAGCTCTTGGCTCAGGGCAGAAGGGAAAGCAAATGCTCCTCAGCATTTGTCATAATTTCTCCTAAGGTAATAACTAACTGAGCTTAGGAAAAATACCTTTCATCATAGAAGTAATAATAGTAGGTGACATGTATGGAATATTTACCAAGTGCCATGTATTAGTCTACATCTCTCTCATTTTAATTATTTAACCCTCACAGCAAATTGTATGACATGAGTTTTATCAATTTCATCATTTTGTAAAAAGGCGACTGACATGTGGAGATGTAAGCCACTTGCTGAAGCTCCCAGCTAAGAAGCAGGAGAGCAGTGCTTCTGAATCCATATGCTTTGGCTCTAGAACTTCTGGTCTTAATCACAAGATGGATAAGTGCCAGGGGTCCAAATCAGAGCTGGGGTCACAAGAGTTAAAGACAAAAGCAGAATTGTTCATGAAATGAAGAGAGAATTTTTGTTGTTCACATAAGAAAAGGGGAAGAGAGAATAATCAAAGATGGGGGAAAACTATGAGAACTCCTGAGGGGGAAAGCCTAAAATAGGGCTTTGGAGAACAGGAAAGTCTGGAATTAATGTTCATCAACAGCCTTATTGAGGTATAATTTAAGAAAATAAATGGTGTGTACTTAAAGGGTGCAATTTAGTGTGTTGAAACAATCCAGAAAACCCAGTCACACGGTCACCACTCATATTCTATTTGTCACTACAGATTCACTTATATTTTTTAGATTTATATGTATGGAATCATATAGTATGTATTATTTAAAAAAAAATTAGTTGTAAATGGATACAATACCTTTATTTTATTTATTTATTTTTGCGTAGTGCCAAGGATCAAACCCAGTACCTCACACATGCTAGGTGAGTGCTCTACCACTGAGCTACAAACCCAGCCTTGTATAGGTGGTTGTCTACACAGAACCTGGCCAGGATCCCAGCTCTTGGGACCTGGAAGACATTTCATCTTGTTGGCAGTGCCTGCTGCTCAGTGTGGGTCATTGATCATGGTGCTCTCCACTTCATAATGAGGGCATTATGCCCAATGATGGTGTAGATCCCTGCATCCTCCACCCCATGAGGGGAGTAGATCCCTGTACCCTCCACTTGACACAAGGAGTAGATCCTCACATTCTCCACCCAGTGAGGGGAGTACATTCCAGTGCCTTCCATTCAGTCTGGGGAGTGGATCCCCGTGCCCTCTGCTGCACAGGGGAGTTGATCTCCATGCTTTCCAYCCCATGAGAGAAGTAGGTCCCATGTGCTTCACCCATAAGGGGAGTAGATCCCTATGCCCTCTAGCTAGTGGGAGGAGTACAATCAGGTATCCTCCACCCGGAGTTAATCTCTGTATCCTCTATCTGATGAGTTCCCATTCTAGAACATTTCAGTTCAACCCCAGAAGTATGGAACTGGAAAAGACATTGAAGAATCCTGCCTTTTCTAACCTGTGATTAGTATTCTTCTGCCCCGTTTAGAACTTCTTTCTTTTTTTTTTTTTAACTGAGTGGCATTTTTTAAATTATTATTATTATTATTATTATTATT